GAGCTCTTAAGAGTGGAGGTCTCAGCATAACGACTCTCTAAAACGAGAGGAGACCTAGTTACACTCAACGCCACATTTCTGCCTACGCGGAGCTCTGGGGAGCGGAGGCTTCAGCAAGATGACTCTCTTAAACGAGAGGAAACCTAACGCTCAACCCTGGTAGGGGGCCTAAGAGTGGAGGTCTCAGCATAACGACTCTCTAAAGCGAGAGGAGACCTAGCTTTACTCAATGCCATAGGCAGTTAGTGAGGCTCAAAAAGAAAGAGCCTACAAACTCATATTCCTGCCAAAGACGGAGCTCTGAAGAGCGGAGGCTTCAGCAGAGTGACTCTCTTAAACGAGAGGAAGCTTAACAACGCTCAACCTTGGTAGGGGACCTCTTAAGAGTGGAGGTCTCAGCATAACAACTCCCTAAAGCGAGAGGAGACCTAGCTACACTCAACGCCAGAGGCAGTTAGCGTGGCTCCAAAAGAAAGAGCCTACAAACTCATACTACTGCCAGAGATGGAGTTCTGAAGAGTGGAGGCTTCAGCAGTAAGACTCTCTTAAACGGGAGGAAGCCTAGCAACACTCAACCCTAGTTGAGGAGCTCTTAAGAGTGGAGGTCTCAGCATAACGACTCTCTAAAGTGAGAGGAGACCTAGCTACACTCAACGCCAGAGGCAGTTAGTGAGGCTCAAAAGGGGAGAGCCTACGAACCCATATTTCTGCCTAAGCGGTGCTCTGGAGAGCGGAGGCTTCGGCAGGATGACTCTCTTAAATGAGAGGAAGCCTAACGACACTCGAACCTGGTAGGGGAACTCTTAAGGGTGGAGGTCTCAGCTTAACGACTGTCTAAAGTGAGAGGGGACCTAGCTACACTCAACGCCAGAGGCAGTTATTGAGGCTCAAAAAAGACTCACTCACCGAAGATACACTTATAATGAAACCCGATTCCAAACCCTCAGAAAGAATCCTCATCATTGGTCCGGCCTCAGGGTCCACTCTCAAGTGCACACGATGGGGGGAAGGAAGGTTTCAGGTTCAAGTACCAGCTGCAGATGGCTGTTTGCCGCGTCAGCCTGGTACGCCAGCAATACTGCCATCGTATGCAAAGCAGCACCAGCCTGACCTGCTGCCGTGTATGCCCTACCATTCAAGCGCAAAGTCTCCTTCAATGGCTTGGATGGCAGGGCTGGAGCCTTGAACGTCGATGTCACCTCAGCCGAGAGATAGCTCGCAAGCGTCTCCTCGATAGGGGGCATCGACGCATATCCACGCTCACGTATCCCCTCGATGTTAGCATAATTAGAATTATGCTGGTACTGATGGATGCGGGCTGAATATGGTTTATCCCATGCCTTCTTGATCTCAATATGGAGATCTGGAAGGAATAGGAGGCTCACGGGAGCTGGGCGGTTATGTCCAGAAAGAAATCGCTCATCAAGTCTGCTACGAACAATTTCCCCTTTCTCGCGCCTCCACTGCAGATCTAACCTCGCAGTGGCGCGATCCATAACCTCCAACAGCTCATCATACGTGGGGCAGGTAGACTGAGAAGGCTCAGAAACATCCTCTCCACCCTCATCAGCCAGATCCTGCTCATCTTGCAACAGAGCACTTCCTGCTGGATCAGAGGATGTAAGTGACAACACATCCTCTTCCAGCAGTTCACCCTCGGCAGCCGCCGACGAGTGCGAAAGATTAACCCCTCTCTCGAACTCGTCAGCAAGCTCCATCTGCGATCCCCACGATCTCAGTCTCCTCGCTGCCTCAGCAGCGGCAGGACCCGAGCCGCAGGGGGCAGATGATTGTCCCAATTCCCTCGAGAAAAGGGACAAACAAGAGTAGAGCTTTCGCACTGAAAAACGCTCATAATGAACGCATTCCATTCCCTCGAGAACAGAACTGATGTTGAACCATCCATCCGCTGACACGAGTGACAGCGGCTGTTGGCGACTGGATGGGGCGTGTCCAGCGACGCGACAAAGTTCAGAATCCTTCAACTTTATGCAAATGAAGAGCGACTTTCGGGAGCGACAGCCAATAGGAAGAAGACGGCAGAGCTCATGTGATCATTCTCCTCTCAGCCGTAGATAAACATACGCAATGGAAAAAAAGTAGGCTCTGTTTCTCGTTCATTTTTGCATTTATATGGGTGCTAAATTGCCAATGGTTCCCCCCCATTATCAATTAGAGGCTAACCAGATCAACTCTCTGGTCTCCCTATCGACTTCAAACACATTCCAGTGTTTTAAGAGACAGTCATCCACAGTACCTGGCACCAGATGTCTGATGGCCAGCGAACTACTCCCATGCTCGCAATACACATAACACACACACATAAAGACATTTTCTTTATTTGCAGACCAGCAATAAACATGCAAATGGGCCATAAACAGAGACAAGGAAAGATTCTCCAGCTCAAAATTCATGCCTCTGATTGGCAAATCCCACCCAAAAGGTGGGTGTGGATAGGAACTATCAAAAGTCTTTAGCTCAGACTTATCTTGGCTCAAAACCTTTCTTCTTAAGATGGACACTATCCAAGACTCCTCAAAACTCTCCTCTTGAGTTTGATTTTCCGGCAGTTTTTATCTTCGAGTAACTTTGTCGATCCGCTGTGGACTTTCCTATCTTCAGAAGAACCAAAAGTAAACTTCCAGCTCACTTCTAAAAGAACTCATCAAGAACCTCCTTTGTCTACCGCATCAGGACTCTTGTTCAGCAATCAAAGCCAATGCAAGTAACAGTTTACAACTATTTAGATGCGTGTTTAAGTTTGAGCCCCTTTTAAGGTGATTTTTTATTCTTTGATGATTCTCATTAGGTTGTGGTTAATTGATGTGAAATACTGCCATTCTTTTGCTCTTCTCTCTCTCTTCCTTACTTTTCTTCATTCTGTATATATGTGTTTTGCTTAGTCTTGTTGTATGTTAGCTGTAGTTTCATGTATTAAATCCCTTATATTCACAATTGATTGCCTCTGTGTGCTGCTCACAATTCGGGGTCACTGAATGTTGAATCTTGCTACATGCTAAATTACTGCTAGTACTGCATAAAAGTAGGAAAGCTATTGTTCCTTGGCCAGGAAAATAATCTTTCCTTGAATCGATAAATTATTATATTGTCTGCTCGGTGGACGGACAGATCAAATAATTATAATACTGATTCTGCTACAGTTAATTCTAAGATCTAATCTAAATATTTATTATTAATTATAACCAGTTATAATTAATTATAAATATTTCCCTTTTGAGCTAATTTGCTACAATGGTTTAAAACAGAAATATTTCCAATAGCTTTAACCCATCCGGTAGTGGGGCCTCAGACTTGCGCGATTTTGCGCTACGCCACTGGCAGGCTTAATGAATTAAAACAGTGCCATTTAAAGACCAAATTCAGTATACACTTATATTCATAAAACATAGTAGGCCTACTGTACAGGAAAGTAGTTAACATGAAACTTTACGTGTTGCGTTCATGTTCTTTGCTCATTCGCTTGCTGTTTTATGACTAAGGTGTAGCTATAGCATACTGAATTTGGGGCCAGATTTACTCAGCGCAAGCTCTTTTGACTATCAGGATTCACTATCAGGATTCATTAAAGACGCGCAGTGAAAAAATAGCGATGAAAAGGTGCCACAGATAGCACACGTACGTCTGCAAGATGTCTGTTAAAAATCGCTTCATCTGGAAAGCATCTGCTGTGTACAAACATCTGATAGACGTCTTTAAGATGTCAGTTTTATATACATGCTAAATCATAAGCATCTTAAATACATTTTCTAAACGTCTATTTGACATCTGATAGGAAACGTCCTATAGACATATTGCAGATGAACAAACACTCTAAAAAATACATCTTGCAGATGTAAATGCATAAATAAACATCTCCGTGATGTAGGCTACGTGTGCGTGAGACACACATGCCCGTAGCCAGCTATGAGCAAGGCCCTGTCCCAAATCACACCCTAAACCCTCGCAGTCTTCCTCTGAGTCCGCACTTTCGTGACGTTGCGGAGCTCGCACCAGTGCGGGCTCGGCAGAAGTGCGGATCGAGGGCGCATAACGGCCACAAAGGGGGCGCTCGCGAGCACCCTTTTGAATGCTAAAATGACGAATGGGACACACTACGGTCTATGCTTAATGCATTAAAACGGTGTTTTAAAAAAAACAAACTCAGTAAACACATTATTAATAAAGCATTCTATTCACATACAAGCAGATATGAGCCCCTCCTAGTGCGCTGAAACATTAAGCGCATACATCACATTTCCCTCCCCACTTAGTGTTGTTGTAATCATTTCAGTAACAATGTTACATACACTTAACATAGACAAAGATGGATCTCTTTCTTTTCCTTTTACATGTCCACATATACATAGATATTTGCCTGTATAATGTAGCACTCATAGTAATACCAAAATATAGAACAACTATAATAAAACACTAGAATCTTAAATGGTAGAATCATTCAATGAACTGTGTTGTGCTTATTCTTTAAATTAAACTCAGCACCAAGACTGTTAACATGCAACCAATGGAATTGGTTTATACCATCAAGGTAAGCCTTATGGGCTAAACCGTACTGGAGGCTTGATGGTACGTTCAGGATAGCGCTTAGCCTCTTTGTGTGGAGTGTGTAACACCACCTCATTGTCCCTAGTGGCTGAATCTTCTGATTGTGCTAATCCTGTTGGAATTTGATCAAGACTAGGACGTGATGTCTCTCCTGAGATCGGATGTTCACACAAATCTGTCAGATTCCCCTCAGGGACTTCAATGGTCTCTGGACCAATCTCATCTCCATTGTCGCAATCATCCTGATGTGCCAAAATTTGATCAACATGACGCCTCCAATGAACTGAAAGTCCTACATCGACAGTGTATGATACTCGGCCTGTCTTTGCTGACACCACAACAGGCATCCACTTCTTTCCTCGCCGATAATCACGAACTAATACCTTGTCACCCACTGCAAATGTGCGTTCTTTCGCATGAACTTGACATCGCCGGCACAGTTTGGCTTGAGCTTTTTCGACCACAGAGGCAACATTTGGCTTCAGCAGATCAAAGCGAGATCGCAATCTACGATGTAGAAACAACATAGCAGGTGACTCCTTTGTGGTGGCGTGCGGGGTGTTTCGGTATGTCAGTAAAAAAGGTGTCCAACCTTTATTGAATGTAAGTTGATCCTTTTGAACAACGTAAAGCCCGCTTTACTGTCTGAACCATGCGTTCCGCCAAGCCATTCGTAGCTGGGTGAAAAGGTTCAGAACGTGTGTGTGTCACTCCATTGGCCTTGAGAAATGTCTGGAACTCCTCGGAAGTGAACTGAGGACCGTTATCACTAACCAGCACTTCTGGGAGTCCATAACGGCTGAACAGTGTCCTCAGCACCTGAATGGTCTTAGCAGATGTAGTTGAATCCATCACACACACCTTGGGCCACTTGGAGTGAGCATCTACTACTACCAGATACATGTGTCCTTCAAATGGACCTGCGAAGTCAACATGTATGCGTTGCCACGGTGACTCTGGCCATTTCCACGTGTATAAGGGTGAAGGTCCAGGAGCTTTTTGTGTCTGCTGGCATGTCTGACAGGTTTTCGCCAACTGTTCAACTTGAATGTCATTTGGCCACCAGACATAACTACGTGCAACCGCCTTCATCCGTACGACACCTGGATGTCCAGAATGTAGTTCTGCCAGTACCCTGGATCTTAGCTTAGGAGGAATGACCACCCTCCAACCCCACGTGAGGCAACCTTGCTGCGTAGTCAGTTCATCCTTCCTGTACACATATGGGACAAGCACATTATTTGCATCCGTGACATTTGAAAACCACCCAGTTGCCACCATCTCCATTACTTGTGACAGAATGGGATCAGCCCTTGTCTCTTTACAGACATCTGCACACAGTACTGGTAGAGCATCCAGCTGTTTTACTTCAAGTAACTCCACCGTGTCCAACTTAACTTGAGGTGCGGTTGGCAGCGGTAATCGTGATAACCCATCCGCATTGCAGTGGTGTGCACCATCTCTGTACTGGATATCGTAATCATAGGCTGCCAACAACAAAGCCCAGTGTTGCAACCGAGCTGCAGCCATGGATGGAATGGCTTTTGTTGGACTGAAGATGGTTGTCAACGGACGGTGATCTGTAAACAAAGTAAACTTCTGCCTGTACAGATATTGGTAAAATTTCCGTACTCCAAAAATAATACCAAGTGCCTCTCTTTCAATTTGAGCATAACTTTGCTCTGCTTTACTCAATGTTCTTGAGGCAAAGGCAATTGGTTTTTCCTGTCCATCCGGGAGGATGTGCGAGATGACAGCGCCAACACCATATGGTGATGTGTCACAGGCCAGTCTGATTGGTAACTGTGGGTTGTAGTGTGTCAACACACTCTGTGACAGTAACAGGTTTTTGGCCTTATCGAATGCAACTTCACACTCCTGAGACCACAGCCACTGTTTTCCTTTGCACAGAAGAGCATTGAGAGGGGTTAACACTGATGGCAGATTAGGGATAAATCGACTGTAGTAATTTAAAAGTCCCAGAAATGAACGAAGTTGTGTGACGTTCTTTGGTGCAGGTGCATCCATGATTGCCCTGACCTTTTCAGGTGACTTATAAAGACCCTGAGCATCAATGATATGCCCCAATTACTCCAGTGAGTCTTTAAAGAACACTTCTCACGCTGGACACATAGCTCAAATTCATCCAGACGACTGAGGACTGCGTCCACATTTTTGAGATGTTGCTCATCATCTGACCCAGTCACTAATATATCGTCTAGGTAGCAGTGCACGTTAGGGAGGCCTTGTAAAATCTGATCCATTGCCCTTTGGAAAATTGCAGGTGCCGATGCAATCCCAAAAGGTAACCGATTGTAACAGAACAGCCCCTTTGATGTGGTGATTGTGAGGCACTTACGTGAGCTTTCAGTCACGGGCACTTGTAGGTATGCATTTGAAAGATCTAATTTAGTGAAGTGCTGGCCCCCTGCTAATGATGTGAATAAATCCTCTATTCGTGGAATTGGGTAACGCTCAACACAAAGGGCAGGATTCACTGTTACCTTAAAATCTCCACAAATCCTCACATCCCCATTCCTTTTTACAACTGGCACAATCGGTGTGGCCCAATCGCTGCATGTCACAGGGGAGATGACCCCCAGCTCCAATAGTTGATTTATCTCAGCCTCGACTTTTGGCTTCAAAGCATAGGGGACATTGCACACTTGGCAAAATCGTGGCTGAGACTGTGGCTAGAGTGACACTGTGGCTTCGATACCTTTTATCAAGTCCAATCCTTTCCTGAAAAAATTTTTGTGTTTCGATAGCACTGTCTCAAGTGCATCCTTTTTCAAACTCTTAATTTCACGACAGTTCAACCTGATTTTCTTGAGCCACTCTCTGCTGAATAGAGGTTGGGCACTTCCTTCCACAACATAAAGTGGTAATTTCGCTTTTTGTTTGTTCATTTTCACAATAACTTCGATGACCCCTACTGGAGACACCACTTCTCCTGTATATGTTTTCAGGATCACATCGGTTGTGCACAGCGGTTTATGAGCTAATTGTGCGTTGTAAAGTTCTCTTGAAATTAGAGAGACAGCCGCTCCGGTGTCTAATTCCATTTCCATAATTTCTCCTTCAACCTTTGGTTTAAGACGAATGTGTGACAATTCCTAATTTTTAGTCATCACATGCAGTGCAAGCTCCGTATCTGTAGTGTCGTCACTAGAGGAGTCCTTCACATCCATCTGATGCACTTCCTTTTTCTGTTGGAAATTTTTCACCCACTTTGACTTGGACTTATTACATTTAGTCATGCGTTTCCCTTTAATTCTGCACACTCTGGAAATGTGGCCTTTTTTACTACAATTGTGGCACTGTTGCTCTTTGAAATAACAGTCTTTCTCATTATGGTTTGTTCTTCCACAACGGTAGCACTTATTTTCTCCTTTCTCTTTCAAGGACAGTGCATGCACTTTCAAAGAGCTACTTAACTGTTGAGATTCCCGCGTGGCCGTTTCCATAGACACTGCGATCTCCACTGCCTTTTGAAACGTGAGAGCTGCTTCCGTCAATAGCCACTTCTGTACAGACTCCGTTTTCAACCCACACACAAAGCAATCGCGCAGCGCATCTTGCAAATGCGTCCCAAATTCGCAGTGTTCACTCAGCTTTTTCAGAACTGCGACATACTGTGCTACTGTCTCTGTTTCGTGCTGACTGCGGTTATGAAACCCAAATCATTCTGCAATAATGATCGGTTTCGGTGAGAAATGATCTTTCAAAACAGTCACAATGTCATCATATGACTTCGCACCCGGCTTATCTGGGGCAATTAAACTCCGCAGCAGGCCGTATGTAGATGAACCCATTACACTCAGCAACATCGCAAACTCAATGTCGTTTGCAGAAACAAATTGTTCAAACCTTTCTATGTAGGTAGCCCACTGTTCAGCTGACTCATTAAAGGCATCCATTTGACCGATAAACACTGCCATTTCATCGGGTGTTGTTCCACAAGTTCACTATATACATCCAATCAAATAATGCAGTAGCCAGACAAAACAGGCGTTTGAAAAGACAATCCTCGTCGCCAACATGTTATATCTTATCTGTTATATAACATGAATAATACGCTGAGACGAGTGTTGTGTCAACTCACTTCTAATTTACTGAGAACTCGGAAGTATTTTTCTTCATTGATAACATAACATACACACGGGAGTGATCTTGAGCGCCTCCTAGTGTGCTGAAACATTAAGCGCATACATCACATGGGACGTTAAGCGTTTTCCTTACAGGCTAATGCTTTTCTGTGGGAGGAAAACACTTAACTCATAACACATATCCTAATTAAACGCATTGCGTTCTTATTCTGGACTCATCTGCTTGTCTGTGAATAGAATGCTTTAGTAATAATGTTTACTGAGTTTGGTCTTTTTAAAACACCGTTTTAATGCATTAAGCCACGATAAGCGTTTTTCACGTTAAGCGTAGATGTCCTGAATCATTCCAGCTGATTTAAAAGAATCGGCTCAGTAATGGCTATCGGAGAAGATACCAATTTAATATATTTATGTTAATTTAATATAAATAGATGATACTTTATAAAGTTTATCTCAATATTTGACTGCGGTGGCTGTGAGATTGTCGGATCTGGTTTTAGCTATAATGAGTCAAAATGTGATGTTTTCCAATCGAAACCGGTCATATCAGAAGTTATAGCTACATGGCTTATTCAAGGATGTGCATTTATTACATGGACTGAGCAAAAACATTAAAAAGCATCTAAAATGCGTGCGCATCACTGATCTCTACATAGTAGCCTACCATTGAATTAAATATAAAAGTTTAACTTAACACTGTTAAAATGTATGAAACTGTTTGCTGAAATAACCACAATCTTTACAAATGCACTGAAATAAGAGCATGATGCACATGAATTTGCGTTTGTTACTATAGCAACAGATTCCAGGTATGTTCTTTCAGAATCATCACTGGCCTGTAGAAAGGTTCTCGATTTCTTCACTTTAAAATAACGAGGAGCAGCATATTTTCCTGAAATAAAGGGGAGGAAAAAGTTTATGCTTTGCAATGTAGTGAAGAAAATTAAAGTTTCATAAAAATTAAAATGGCACACAGCAGACACATTAGCCTATTGCGGTGTCATTTATCAGCATGACAGATAATTATATGTAACTATAATTTTCTTGCCATGCTATATAAATTAAAACAATACTGATACATCCTTTTCATTTCATTTCTCATACTCTGATTAAATAAACTTTCAAAAATTATTTAATTCATAATTAAATTCCTCTATCTGAAGACCTGATCCTACCACTGTGGATAATCAACCCAATTAATTTATTAAATGTAGTGGGTTGTTCGTCTGTTAGCCTAAAGACCAGCTTAATTTAGCAAAACAATAATTTAAGGGACATGGCGAGTTGCAGGCTAATGTTTTTATTTTTTCGTCTGTGCATTATAATGAAGGCTAAAACTGCACAGCGATTTTAACTTTTTAAGCAAGATACTCCATCCTACACCAACTACGCACACATTTCCTATCATGTATGCCTATGAAAGACGATCGAACCAATCAGAGTAGGTATGGGGCGTGCACCCAACATGCAGCCCCGCACCGATCTGCAGGCTGCAGACAGGGGCTTTTCGCTATGAGGTCACCGAGGTCCGGACCTCGGTAAATTTTTCATGGTCAAAAATACAAATATTTATCTAAATGACTAATCTGCTCTTTAAAGCTCCTCATATGAGTGTCTGCAAGTATTATTACGTTTAGACAGTTTGCATCTGTTACGGGGCTGACAAGACGTGAGACGTGCGGATCCATGTGCAAGCTTTATTAAAAGCAGAGGAGGTCAGAAACACAGGCAGGGTCGAACAGTGGCAAACAGGTATATGGTGGGCAAGACACAAGAATAGTCCAAGGGCTAGCGTAGGTCAACGATCGGCGAACAGAATCAAAAGGGCGAGACTAAAGGGATAAATCCAGGAAAACAGGCAAAGATCAGAAACCAAGAAAACAGACAGGGCAAGACTAGGCTAGGACTGGGAAACTAACGAGGGCTCTGTAAAGTAGCTATCACTGCTGGCGATAAGCGCATACAATACTCA